AGTATACAAAAAAAAAAAAAAAAAAAAAAAAAAAGAAATCAAATTTATTTATTTAAAGAAGAAACATAAAAAAAGAGTATTTATTAAATTTTTATTAAAAAAAAAGAAAAAATAGAGATCCTCATTAAAAAATAATTTGAAATTTTATGACAATAAAAAAAAAAAAAGTTATTGATTACATTTTCAATTGCTACATTTTTAAGTTTCATTTATATTATTTTTTTAAAATTATATTTTTTTTATAATATATATATATATAATTATATATTTATATAGATGTTTATATTTACTTCATTTAATGTACAAATAAGATACTTAAAAAAATTATTTTATAGCAGTTAAAAAGAGAAAAAAAAAAATTAGTAATTTAAAATTTATTTAAGGAGTATAAAAGTGTATAATAAAAAATATAAATACATATAAAATGAGTGGACGTAATTGTTTTAAAAATATTTTTAAAAATATATTCAGTAAAAACACAATATCTAAAAAAAGCACAAATATGACTAAAGTAGGAAAAGGTGTTGGGGGAACTATGCTTTTAGTATCACCAATATTATTTGAATTAAAACATAAAGAAGAAGAAAATTCTCCAAAATCTGAATATATTTTTATGGCTGGAAAGAGTATAGATTTTTTAACTCAGAAAATATTTGAAAATGAATATGGGACATCAATATTGTATTTAGTATTTTTTGTCGCATATTTAGCATTACTTGTTCATGATAATAAAGTAAATTTAATGGTTCAAAAATTAAAATTCAAATTTTCTAATAATATGTTTTCAGTTGGTCATCCCAACTATAAACAATATTTACCAAAAAATCCTCTTATAAAAAAAGATTAAAGAAAATTTATTCATATATGAGATAAAATATCCATAAACTCATGCTTAAATCTATTTCATTTATTATTTACTTTTTTTACTTAATAATTTTTTTTTTTTTTTTTTTTTTTCTTTGATGAAAAGCTTTTACTATTTTTTCAAATCAACAACATTTTATGTACATTTATAATTATGTATTTTTTTACTTATATTTTTTTTTAAAATTTTTTTTAAGTAATTTTACTATTTCTATTATATCACTATTGTATTTTCATTTGTTAAATTTAACCTTTTTTTTTTCTTTATTATTATATTTTTTTTAATTTTGTTTTTTTTATTAGGATTCTGCTTAAACGTTTTGAAATATATAATTTATTTTAAATATTTTTATATTTAAAAGATGCTTAAATGATTTTTATTTGCAAAGTTATTATAATTCTAAATATTATATTTTCTCCTTAAGAAAAAAGACACTTTTACAAGAGATTCATATTCTAAAGGAGAAAAAATAATCTTCGATTTAAATAAATAAAAAAATTTAATTGAATTAAAATTATTCTTAAAATTTCATAATTATAACATTTTAGTGATAACACACTTTTAATATTAATTCTTCTATAAATCTTTTTTTTTTTTTTTTTTTTTTATATTTCTCCATATGTAAATGTTTTAGATAATTCCTTCTATATGCTTTTTTAAAAAATTAAAAATAAAAATTTATTAAATAAAGAGAAAAAAAAAGAAGATAATAATTAGCCATTCTAAATTTTTATGGAAAAAAAATTTTATATAAATAGGATATTATTAACATATAATTTTTTTTTCTTCTTTTTTATTTATTGAATTTACACATATTTATTAATAATAATTTCAAAATATATTCATTGAATAAAATTTAAAAATAAAGCATACTTTTTTTTTTCCTTTGAAGAAAAATATTTTGTTTATGCGTATTATTTTACTATAGAAAAAATAGACACATTTTTATTATAAAAAAAAAAAAAAACTGAAATAAATTGAATCAACTAATTTAAATGAAAGAAAAAGATTTATAATAAATATTTTAATACATAAATAAAATTTTGAATTTTTTTGTATAAATATTTTATATAAAATTAGACAGAAAAAAAAAAAAAAGAGTAAAAGTAGAAAAATAAAAAGTACTTAAAATTTAAAATATGAATTAAAAAAATCAAACAATTATAAGTAAAAGTTAAAAAAAGAAAAGAAGAATTTTCTTAATTTTAACATAAAAAGAAAAAAAACAGAATATTTTTAATAAAGAAAAGATAATAAATTACTTAATTTTATATAGAATATAAGAAAAAACAAAAAGATTTATAACAATTATCAAATGGATGCACAAAATTTTTTGAGAGTTCTTACAGTGGCTACATCTGTGTCCTTTTTATTATCATCATTGATTCTTCTACTTAGTCATAACTTATACACTACTTTTATATTAGGTATAAAAAAAATTAAAAAATAAAAAGACAAAAAAATGAATATATATATATATATTCTTATGTGATTACATTTACAGGTTTTTATGGAACATTATTGTCTATTTTAATTCTATTATTTGAATATTATGAAAAATATTCAAACTATTTTATTAAATTAGTTCCTTCTTTAAGTATTGAAAAAAAAAAAAAAAAAAAAATAGTTTTAAACGAAACTTATATAAAAATATATAAACTATATATTTTTATAATTTATTTTTTCAGAGAAAAACAATTTTAAAGGATATTTTTTGATAATGTAAAAAGGAAAAAAATGAAAATGATCTTTTTAATAACTTAATGTAAATTTTCTAAATTTTTCTTTTTTTTTTTTTTAGAATTGGTAGCTTATATCTTGGTAGAGAATCAAGGGGAATGTCTAATATCAGTGGAATGCTTTTAATAGGTTGTGGTTTTTTTCATATCGTATATCATTATATTCATAATATGATTTATTTGAAATATGATGAAGGCGTGATTGCTTATAAAAGGCCTGTAAATTTAGATAATGATGATCATTACGATGAGTTAGTTATGTAAATATATATAAGAAACAACATAATAAAAGAAAAAAAAATTATGAAAAATTATAAATTTTTATTCTTACAAGTTTTAAAAAAAAAAGAAAAAGAAAAAAAAAAAAGATATTTCTAATAATAATAATTAAAATTTATTTTTCTTTTTTCATTTCTTTTACTTTATTGCACTTTTAAATTGTTCGAGATTTCCTTAAACAATTATTGAAATTTATTATTTTTTTTTTTTTCTTCAAGTTAAACTTATTGGATTTTTATAAATGTATAATTGTATTAAAATTAATATATATACAATAATAAAATAAGGTATTTAATTTTAGAAAAAATTTTTTTTTTTTTTTTAATTTACTTTTAAATTTTTGTAGCAACTTTATTTTTTTCAAATTATTTATATTAAAAAAAATTATTACCTATGTTAATAAATTTACTGTAGATATTTCATTTAAAAATAATTATGAAAAAGATAATAATGAAATTTTGTTTTTTTTTGTGAAAAATGTTAAAAAAAAAAAAAAATGAAAATATAAAAAATATACCGAAAATTTTCTATTTTTAATGAGAATGTGTTTATATAAAAACGAAAATAAAATAAGAGTATATCATAATAATAAAATGAAATATTTCTAAGAATATTATTTTATAATTTTTTACTCTATATTTATTATAAAAAATTACGAAATGTTATCAAGGCTAGTGGTAAAATCAAATAATTTGTTAAAAAAAATATGGAGTAAAAATATTTGCACTCTTTCTAATGTATTTTTATCAAAACATCCCTATAAACCGAAAACAAGAGAAATTATTCATCCTCATATGACACCCCCAGAATATTTATCACCTTCCGATTGTTTTGATGCAAAAACAAGTGAGTTACAACAGTTTATACCGAAAAATTTTTATCGTACTAAATGGATAGAATCATTAAGAAGTGGAGAATATTTAGGAGAGGATTATCCATGGAATTTATTACCTAAATGGAAATATTGGAAAAAAAGAAAATATAATGTAAAATATCATGAAATTCCTTGGTTTATTTCAAAAGTTAAAGGGGTTTCATATTATAAAAGACTAAATGTATGGATGGTTCAATGGGTTGAAAATGGAGTTCATAGAATTAGAAGGTTTAGATGTGCTTTTGGAATTTTACAAGCAAAACTAGCTGCTGAACAGTTCAGAAAAAACTTAGAAGAATCAGGAAGAGTAGATAATAGAAAAACAGAAAGACAGCTTAGAATGGATTATATACAAAAGAAAGATGAAAGATTATTAAGAAAGAAAAAATATTCTAAGATATCTAAAGGTCAATTTTAATAAAAGATTAATAGAACAATTTATATATCTATATGTATTTAAATTAAAATATTATTTGTTTTTCTTTTTTATTTTTGGTAATTGAAATATAAATAATATATAATAACTTTTTGTAAATGTTATATATTTCTATATATTAAAAAAGTTTTTTAGATTAAATATATGTATCATTTTTTACAACTTAATTTTTTATTTTTGTGATATTCCTCTAATCATAAAAAGAAATACATATATTTACAAATATATATTATATTTTTCTGTTCTAAAAATTTTTTTTTTTTTTTCAATCAATTTATTATTTGTTTCTTTTAAAAATATTAAATTCAAACATAATAAGAAAAAAAAAAAAAAAAAAAAAAAAAAAAAATGATATTCTAAATAAAATATATTATAATAAAAAAATGTTAATACTCAAAAATTTTGTGCTTAATTTTTATTATTAAACTATCTTCAAAATTCCTTATATTACTTTTTTAATTCAAAAATATACAAAAAATAATTCTATTTACAAAAAAGTTCATGTATATATGCATATATATATTTGTATTTTTATTTGTGTTACTCCTTTTTAAATTTTATAAAACCTATTTTTTAATTAACAAAATCTTGTAATATTGTTAAGCAAAGTTATAAATTATTTAATAATTTTATATTTAATAAAGCATTTTTGTAAATTATTTTTTGCAATAATATAAAATGAAAACATTATATATTTGTGAAATCCCCATTAATAAAAATAAGGAAAAAAAATTTCTCATAATGTATTATATAAATATTCATTTGAAGTAATAAAATACTCATTTCCTTTTTTATGTTACTAATATGTATATTTTTCTATTAAATTTTATTTCTTTTTATGATTTTTGAAAAAACATTTTTTTTATTTCTGGTGTGCAATACTCTATAGCTAGCTTTAAACGAACATCTAAAGTATTATCACAATTAATTTTTCTATTTGGAGTTGTTAAAATAACACCTCCAAGACAAGAATTTCCTTCATTGTCCTTTGAAGGAGGAGGTGGTAAATAGTCTCCTGATTTGTCGATTTCTATTTTAATAGTTTTAACAACATTGAGTTGCTTTTTTAATTGATCCGTGTATTTTTGAACTGCTTCATTTAAGCAACTTTCAACAATCGATTTATCAATATCTCTACAACGAACAATAACATGTGGTTCTTGTATATAAAATAAAGATTGAACAATTAAATCAACAATTAAATTTTTATATTTATCTTTATCTTTATACAATTCATTTAATTTTTCGCTACTTATTTTATATATTTCTTTAAAAACTTGATCTTTTGCACACATTTTTTTTAGTCTTGCTTTATTAATAGCTGATGAACGAGATATAGACCTTTTTATTTCCATTTGTTTTGCTTTTTTTTGAAATTCCACTCGTATTTTTTCTTTCATTTTTTGAACAATTCTTAGTTTTTCAATATTGAAATCTTCCAATGCTTTTGCTTCGATCTCATGTGCTTTATCTTTAGCTTCATTTAAAATGAAGTTTACCATTTGCTGTATTTGCTTTTGCGCTTCTGCATCATCCTATATAGAATAAAATATATGTACATTCAAAAAAAAAAGCAAAACATTTAAAATATAACTATATTTATTTCAAAGACTTGTGAATATTTTTTTTGTAAAATTAATATATAAATTCAGATTTTTCTAAAACAATCATTAAATTAAATATATATATATATATATATATATATATATCATTGTTTTAATAATTATTTTTTACATATTATTACACACATATATAAATTTATATAATATCCAAGAATAACCAAATAAAAAAGCTTAAATTATTTATAATGTAAAAATTATATGATATATATAATTTTTTAAGTTGAAATTAAATTCTTAATTTTAATATGTTTTTATCTTACCAAAGCCATTTTTTTATCAAAAATTCATTTCAATAATTAAAATAGGAAAATTATTATTGTAAAATTTCTTATAAAAATAAAAATATCAATATATTTTATAAAAAAATTTGATTAACTTAAAAAAATATATAAAATAATTTAAAAAAAATTTATTCAGTATTATTATAAGATTATAGTTTTTTTTTTTTTTTTTTAAGACAATTCTAATTTTTTTTTTTTTTTTTTTTTTTGAAAAAATTAGCTCCTATTTATGTAGAGTCAGAAAATGAAAAAAGGAAAATATATCACAAAAAAATTATTTATGAATTAAATAATTTTTCTATTAATATCAAGAATAAATAAAAAAATATATAAAAAAATAATATAAAAAAAATTAAAATACATATATATTTATATATTTTTTATTTATTTATTCATTTATTTATTCATTCACATATTTTAACATTTATTAAATTAAAAATATAAAAAAACTAGTCAGTATTATTTTTATGCTTGTATTAAAATTTTTTTTTTTTTTTTTTTTTGTAATTTTTCTTCTTAAAAGTTTAATTTCAAAATCGGTATAAAAATGAAATTATAATAAAAAAAAAATTTTTTTTTTAAATGACACAAAAAAATAATAATATGGAATTTAATAAATAATTTTATCTTTTATTTTAATATATTTCATTTCTTTATTTTATATATGTAAATATCTATATGTAAGTATTTTTATTATATAATAATATATACTTTACATAATTTATGTTTTTTTCAGGTTATATTCTATTATAAAAAAAAAAAAAAAAAAAATTAATAAGCAAATTATATGGGAAAATTGAATATTGAACATTAGTCGGTGTGCCTTGTTATTTCTTTAAAAATTTTTATTTTCCTTTATAAATACCAATAATATTTAGATTAATTTTAAGATAACAACATAATTAAACATACTTTATTATATACTAAGTTACTATAGCTTGTCATTAAGTCTTTTTTTTATTTGAAGTTTTTTTTTTTTTTTTTTTTTTTTTTGGTACTGCTTTATATATATAGTAAATTAAAGAAAAAAAACACAACAAATCAAATTTAGTATATATATAGATATTTCTTTTAAATAGCATAAAGAAAAAATTTAAATGAGAAATAATTATAAAAAGGCAAAATTTTATATGATTAAAAGTTGAAAAAAAATAAGAGATTTTAATATTTAAATAATTACAGTGATAAATTTAAGTAATATAATAAGGAAAAATAAAAAATTGATTCACTGAGTGATATTAAGATTTAATTACTTAACTAAAATGAATAAAAAATAGTGAGATGAATATATATTTATGTACATTGTGTTTTATAAGTACTTATGTAGTTATATCCTCATAAAGTTATTTGAAAATTTTCCATCTTATATAAAATTATCCATATTAAATTATTTACTTTTAAAAGTTCCTTTTATTATAATTTCTAGGGTTTTTTTTTTTTAATAAAAAAGAAGAAAACATAACCATATTTAATGGAAACATATATATCTTCTTATTTTTTTTTTCATTTTTTTTAAACCTTTTATTATTATTTCATATTTATAAAAGAAAAAATCTAAAAATGTTCAAGAATTGAATATTATTTAACTTCATTTTAATATTATTATAAAAGGAATTTATATAGATATGGAGTAATGAAAATTTGCAATTGTAACGAAATAGTAAGATTTATTTAAAAAAAAAAAAAAAAAACATTATATACAAAGGATTTGTATAAATATAATTACATTTTTCACAAATTATTGTCTATATTAAGAATATTGAAGGTTTTTTTTTGTGTATAAATAGTTGTAAAATAATTTAGTGGAAAATTATGAGGTTTATATAACTGTGTGTTTAAGTATAAACTATATATTTATTAATATTTTTCCTTTTTATAATTGTAACATTCTTTTATTCAAGGAAATTTAAAATTGTAAAAATACTTTTTATTCTTTAATTCTAAGTTTTATTAATAGAATTCAATTTTTTTAAATGTAATTCTAGTTTTCCATTTTATTTTGTTTTTTTTTTTTTTTCCTTTCCATTTTTAAAATTATAATTTTTTTTTCTTTTTTTTTTTTTTTTTTTTTTTTTNTTTTATTAATAGAATTCAATTTTTTTAAATGTAATTCTAGTTTTCCATTTTATTTTGTTTTTTTTTTTTTTTCCTTTCCATTTTTAAAATTATAATTTTTTTTTCTTTTTTTTTTTTTTTTTTTTTATCTATATTTAATGCAAATGTAAATGATTTTTTTTTAGAATAAATCTAAATTTTTTTTTTTATTTTCTTTTTTCTTTATTCTCACTATTTTTTTTTTTTTAATTCGATAAAATATAAAGTTTATAAATTATTGTTGATGCACAATTATATTGTATTTTTAAAAATATTTTTAAAAATAATTTTAAATGATCAATTTATTCTTAAAGGAAAGTATAATTTTACGTTTATGAAATCAACTAAAATATAATTTCTCATAAAAAAAATTTTTAATTAAAAGAAAAAAAAAGAAAATTATTAAAATAAAATGTAAGTTTTCTCTATTTTATTTAAAATTGCAAGTAAAGAACCAACAGTTAATATATTTTAGAAAATTCTAACAATGTGTAAATAAATATGAACAGAATATGTACAACTTTAGTTGTTGTAAAAATTTTAGAATTTTTTCCATGGATAGATGATTTATTTAAATTATTTTATTTAGTAATTAAACATTATTTATAAAATATAAATATAAAATAAATATTCTATATACACATATGATTTGGATGTTATATTTATATACGTTACAACATTGCACTTTTTATTTTTTCTATATTTAAAATTAAAAAAAAAAAAAAAATAAATAAAATGAAATAGAAAAAAAAGTAATAACAATAATAAAAATAAAAGAAATAAATATATATATATATATTTTTTTTTTTTTTTTTTTATAGAATAGATTATGGAGAAATACTATTTTAGATGTTATAAAAAATACGAATTTTTTAATTGGAAAAACTACAATGCGTTTAAAAAATAAAAATTTTATTTTATTAATATTAAAATATATAAATGGTTCTCATAAAACTAATCAAAATATAATTGACCGTTTTAGTTACTTAACTTGTGAAAATTTTAAAATATCTTCATTTCCAAATGTGTTGTAAGAAATATTAAAAACTTAAGAAAAAGGAAATTAAGAGAAAATTAAAAATATTAAAATATTTCATATATTATTGCAATAAAATACATATACATATATATATATTTATAATACATGTATATTTTAATTTATTATCCTTTTAACTAATTTGTTTTATTTTTAATATATATTATTTAATTTTTTTTTTTTTTTTTTTAGAGGATTAATTATTGTTTCATCTAATTTAAATCCACCATTTTTCAACTATATACATAATATATTTCCGAATTTAATTTATCTTAAATTAATAATTAAGTCACCTGTTTGTATACCATTATTGAAAAATTTTTGTTTTTATTCTAAGAATTTGAAATATATTATTATTTGTTTTGTAAATAATGAATTAAATGAAGAATACAAAGATAAGTTAAAAAAAAGTATAAACAATTTTCTTTTTCATTGGCATATTAATGTAAAATTAATAACAGAATAAAATTAATAAAATATAAGGGAAATTAAAATTTATATATTTTATTATAAAAGATAAAAATGTTATCAAAAGCAGTAATGGACAAAGTATATATTGTTAATAATAATTTTTTCTAATTAAAATTATGCTCATTTTTATTTTTTTTTATATCTTTTTCATTATTTTTTTAATTAAATTATTAATAATTATATGTATTTAAATTAAGGGAGAGATATATTCATTTTTCTTGAAATTATTACCCATAATTTATAATAATACAGGGA